CACACACACACACACACACACACACACACACACACACACACACACACTTTTGTGGGCCCTAGGTCTTGTGCCTTTGCATCCCCAAAGTTAGCAGGTATGTCAATAGTTCTCCTTCTTTGGCTGCTATCCAACCTTCCTCTCGGAGGGAGTAGAACCCCCTCATTTTGGGGTTTCCTTCAATTCAAAACCCCAAGTGGGCCTTCCCGAGGGGAAGCAGGCAGGATGCTCTGAGAGCGCCCTCTGGTGGCATCTCCCTTATTTGTAGCTGCTGTTCCACCCGGCCCAGATGTCTATTCTGCCGGCCCAACAAGAGAGGGGGAGGGTGGGGAGGCCTCTCTTATCTCTAGAGCAGGCAAACAAGGGATCAGAAAGTCTCCTTCATCCAGTCATGGTTGTCCCAGAGGTGCTTTTTCCCAAAAAATACAAAACAAAAAATGAACTGAATGGAAGGAGCTTCTTGGACTAGAAGCGAAATGTTTTCAAAGGAAAAAAACCCCCAAGAAACTCCGGTTGCCTTCTGGAGAAAGCGCCTTTGGGAGAAGCGGAAAGAGACCACCTGACGGGATCCCACAGCGGCCTGCCTTTGAAACTGGCAATGGGGCGCCTGCCTTCGTTAACGTCCAAGCGCCACCACCTGACCCTGGGAGGCGGCCTCCCACCGGCAGGGCACTCCAGAACCTCTGCCCAAGGTCGGCCACACACCCCCTGGGCAAGAGGCGCTCTCTGGGTGTCTCTTCCTCCCATCCAAAGGATGCGGACTGGCACTCGGCCCTGTGGCTTATCTTCTCAGCGAAACTGCTCATGCAAGCAGGGACTTTGCCCTGCAATTAATACCCACCTGCGAGCCACTTGGCCACAACGGAGGGCAGAGGAAGAGGACGATGGGCTGCCTGGGGATCGTGCTGCTGCTTGGCCTCACCTTCTTCCTTCAGGTAGGCTTGTTGTGGTGGGTGGGATGCCGGCAGGGAGCAGGGAGACAGATGGTGCAGCTACTGGGGAATGTCCGAGTGCAGAAATGGGTTTTGCTCCTGGACTGACCGTCCCTTTGGAGATCTTGGACTCCAGTTTCCATCAGTCCCTCCCAACCAGCACAGGCAGCAGCAGGAGAGCATCAGAAGCAGAAATGGGCTTTGGAACTCTCTGAGAAGCCCCACTGAGGGGAGATGCTGGTGCTGGATAAGCGGACGTCAATGAGCCAGCATGGAGTTGCGGTTCCGTTCACCCCAAACTGCCCCTCACCAGCAACAGAGTTTGGGGGAGTCTGGCTGCAAAGTCAGCAGGCTGGCTCACCTGTAGTAGTGGCAGAGCGGGCCAGATCCATCATCTTCCCCACCTGGCTCTCTGGGGAAAGAAACGGAGCAGGAGAGGCCCCATAAGGATGGGGAAGACCTGCATCTCCAGGCAGCAGGTTCCAAGCACCAACTCCGGGGGGGGGGGGGAGCCCAGAGGTTGATGTTCTGCCGCTTGGAAAGAAAAGGCCAGCCACGTGGTGGGTTTAATCGAGACCCTGCATGCAAAGACCACCCGTTCCTTCATTACAAAACCTTGAGAGGAGCTCCGGGCACTAAGATTCAAACTCTAGCATAGGGTCATTGCTGGGCAGCAGCCTCGCCACCAAGAAAGCTTCCAGGGAATCGTTCCAGAAGGGCTGGGAGGACCAGCGCTGGCCCCCCTCCCCAAGAAAGAAAGCCGGGACTCCACAGGGCAACCTCCGAGGCAACAGCAAAAGGTTCAGGGGAGGGGGCTAAGCTGCTGGGTTTGCCAAGCGAATTAGTCTTCCACCGTCCTCCCTGAAGGCCCACAGCCCAGTGCCCCACCAACTGCAGGGCCAGGCGTGGACTGAAAATATGCACCCACAGCCTGATGTGTTTCTCTCCTTTAAAACAAACAGGGGGTTTCCTAAGGGTGAAGCAGGGGCAGGAAACTTTAAACTTTACACAGGAGATGTTTTCCATGCACTGCAAACACTCAGCCTCAGGGAAGAGACCACTACAGACCTGTTAAGTGGCCCAGGCCAGGGTTGGAACAGGGTCCCTCCACTTCTCAGGTGCGAAGGGTGGTCTGGCCTAGCTACTTCAAGAGCTACATTGAGATCAAGAGGAAGGATATGCAACGGTGGGAAAGGGCTTGCCTCCCCCTCCCCCCTCATGGATCGTGTGTCCCTGCTGAGATGTTTCATCTATGCATGGGGGTGGGGGGGTGGGAATAATTTTCAGCTGAGAGAGGAGTTCTTTCTGCAAGAAAAAAACATGCGATAGATTGTCCCCAGTGGAGCAGAACTTCCTGACCTCTCTTTCCTGGGGTGTCTTTGACCTTCCACCAGGAAAGAAGAACAGAAACTGCTTTCTCGCTCAAAGTCCAGGAAGGTGGAAATCAATAAACCCGAATCACAAAGATTACCTCCACAATCACAGTCACACACACACAAGTTCCCTTTAAGAGAACCAAATCTCTAAACATAAAAAGTTCTACATTGGGAAAGACAAACACAGGAAAAATGAGGAAGATGACAGTCATCTACATGGACTTCCAAGTCAGCCTAACCAAGCCACCAGTTATCTTCGTATTATTATCTGCTGAAAGATGGTCTTGGCTTTAGCCCAGTAGTTCAGAATTCACTGCAGGGGTGAACGCTGCACGTTTTTCCTGTGGGCTATTCAGTTTCATAGACCAGAGAGGGCGAGTGATCGCCAGCACCCTTGGGAAGACCAGAGAAGGAACACGGATATTCTGGAGCCAGCTCACAAGTGGCTCATATTCTGGAGCCATCCCACATTCCCAAAAGCTTTCAGTGGCTGATAAAGATGACAGCTAATTTTCATTATTGTGCCACTATATAAATAGGCTTAAATTAAATAGGCAGCTTTCTGGGGCAAAATAGCCGGAATTCCCTTAAGTAGTTTGTCTTGGGTTACACAAAGCTTTGTCACAGCTTCTCTCTGATGTGAGAGCAGGCCGCGTGGTGCGTTGGGGTGCACAGAGAGAAACAGGGATGCAGTCCTGAGGCCAAAAGGTCGCCCACGAGTCAAATGTGACCTTTGCTACAAAAGGGTCCATTCCTCTTAACGGCCCGGGGAAGGGGAGCCTTTCTTAGGTGAAGTCTGGACTCCATAATCCCACCTCCTCTTTTACTCATTCTGCCTCTCAGACGGAAGCCTCCCCGGCTCCCTCCCTCCCTTCCCCCTCCCCCCTCCCTCCCTTCCCCCTCCCCCAATCAAGTCCTCGCTGCTCTTTTCTGACTTACCTAGGAAAAAGTCCCAATTAACTGGATGACTTGCTTTATGAAATTAAAGCTTAGAAGCAACAATTCTTCGTAAACACAAGTGGAAGAGAATAAGGGCTGTTTGTGGCAGCACTTGAAGGGCAGAGACCCAGAGGTCAGATGGGCAATTCCAGCTGGAGGAATCCCTGCAGGACCGCAAGAAGCCAACGCTTTGTGGAAAGCCCCCACCCGCTCCATCCGCCCTTCATTCCACCCCTCAGAGGTTTCGCTATTTCGCGGTGCTGCTTCGAAGAAGAAAAAGGGCCCCCAAAGGCTGTGGGGACAGGAGAGGGGAGGTTGGCAAAGGACAGCCTGGGGGGGGGAGGAGTTTAGGCTGCTCCCCATTTTAGCTGTAGACCCAGAGCAGGAAGCCTTGGGGCAGAGTCTCTCCACTGGCTTGGGCACAGGCATTTCCAGGGGGCAAGGAATCACCGAGGCAGCCTCTTCCTCTGCTTTCCCTTACTCAAGAGGGATCCAGAGAGCCCCGTCTTTATTTACAGGAGGGTCTGTCTGCTCAGGCGGAGGGGCTGCTCTTCCGAGGATCTGGGCCTGGCCTGAGGCGGCAGAAGAGAGACTGGGTCATCCCTCCGATTCTTTGCTCTGAGAATGAGAGGGGGCCTTTCCCCAAGAACCTGGTGCAGGTAAGGACTTTGCTTCTGCTGGGATTCTCTTGCACCTTTTAGGGTTAGGCAGCAAATGACCCAGAAATGCAGGGCCCCAAATATTGCTTCACCCGAGCTCGGCTGAACTTGTGGCAGCGCTGAGTGGACATTTGCCCTAAACCCCTTGGCTCTCACTTCAGCCGAGCTCAGGGCCTGCATTTCTGCCCCGGGCCAGGCAACGCAGCTGCCCCGGAGGGTGGGGAGGGCTGCTGGCCCACCCCGGTCCCTGACCCGATCTCCACCCCAATCAGATCAAGTCCAGCAAAGACAAAGAAAGCATCGTCTACTACAGCATCACCGGGCAGGGGGCCGACATCCCTCCGGTCGGCACCTTCATCATCGAGAGGGAAACCGGCATGCTGAAGGTGACCCGCCCACTAGACAGGGAGAAGATTCCCCGCTACGTGGTGAGTCCACGTGGCCTGCTGTGGTTATACACGTTGCTTTCAATTCTGGGTGGCTGCACTGGGTGGCGGAAGAGCGCCTGGAAATCGGCCATGGGGATTGGGCGGGAGGGCAAAGGTCACTGCGTCCTCTGGGATGCCAGGACAGCTGGGTCCCTTTTGGGTGGCAGAGGGTTTCGTCCCAACCAGAAAGCCCGCGAAGGAACCCCGTTTAGAAGTCGGCGACTCTGGAGGGAAGCCACCACTTTCCTAAAGTGCCTGTTTATTCCTGTCCAAGAAAAGTTCCCGTCTCCTGCCGTGGTGGCCCCCAGGGGCCGGAGGGGCTCCCGGGACCCCCGTCCCAGGCCTTCCGAGGGCATCCCTTGTCCTTCAGGGCCGCCTCTGCAGAGCTGGCAGCGCTGGGTGCCAAGGACTGTTGAGCTCTGTGAAAGAGGCTGCCTGGCTGCATCTCCGGCTTCTCTGCTCAGCCCTGGTGAATAACGGCCTTTCTCCCCCGCAGATGCTTTGCCACGCGGTGTTAGCCAATGGCCAGACAGCAGAGGACCCCAAGGAGATCATCATCAATGTTGGCGACCAGAATGACAACCGTCCAGTGTTCACCCAGAGGGTCTTCGAAGGGTCCGTGGAAGAGGGAGCTAAACCAGGTAGGGGAGTCTGGGTGAGGACACAAGACCCTGGATCCCTCTGGGCCACAGGCACAAGCCCTCCAGGACAGTCCTGTCGAAGCCATCCAGGCCGCCCCCTCAGGCCGACGCCCGCCCAGCCATGCCCCTGTGGGATTAAGTAGACAGTCTCTGTGACCGCCGGAGGCGCTGGGGGTTGCCCAGAAGCCAGAGGCTTTTCCGGCCGGGAGGCGCGGAGGGAGCTGGGCTCATGCTCGACTCCGGCGCTTGTTTCAAGGGAGCCCCTTTCAGCAGCCCTCCTTCCCCAGGGACATCGGTGATGACAGTGACGGCCACGGATGCAGATGACGCCATAGACTCCTATAATGGCGTCATCACTTACTCCATCCTCAGCCAGGAGCCGGAGCCGGAAAAACAGAGGTTCACCATCAATAAGGAAACTGGCCTGATCAGCGTGGTTGTGTCTGGTCTGGACCGAGAGGTGAATGCCGGGTGCTGGGACAGGTTGAGTGGGGGTCCTTTGCCCTCCTCTCACATTCCTGGTTTTTCTAAGAGCCACAACTGTGTGTAGGCCAGAGGTCTGGAATGAAGGCCGAGTTTTAAGCCACCCTTGACAGCTGCTGGACCCATCACAAAGTAGGTGCCCCTCTTTAGTCTGGGGGGGGCTCTGCTCCTCCCACCCCAGTGAAGTCCTCTCTTTCCAGAAAGCCCCCAAGTACACTCTGATTGTGCGAGCCGCGGACCTGGCGGGGCAAGGCCTTTTCTCCACTGCAACCGCAGTGATCCAGGTAACTCCCGAGGATCTGCTGGGAGGCCTCCATCCCTTCCCTCTTCTTCCCTGGACCTGCGCTTTGCCCAACCCCAAAGCTACAAGCTTTGCCACCAAGAGCCGATCCCCTGCGAGGGCCCTCACCAGTAACAGCCGGCCCCGGCGGGGTTAATGCTTCCTGCCGAGTCATGGCTGGCTCCCTGCCAGGCCTCCGCAGGAAGGGGCTGGATTGAGAAAGCCAGAAATGGACGGGCTGCCAGACGAGGGTGGAGGGCGACCCCAGGTGAATCCGGCACTCCCCCCGCAGCAACGTGGCCTTCCGGGGGGCATCACCCAGGAAACTGGGCAGGCCCGCAGCAGCCTCCTCCCAGGCCGGGAGGGGGCTGGGAGGGGTGGGAACAAGCTCTGCCGGGGAGGGCAGAGCTCACAAGGGGGCTCTCTGCTTGGATCCAGGTTGCCAACTCCAGCGAGGGCCACCACACTTCCCTGAGCGTCCATGCGCTGAATGTGCTCACTGGCCTCCCTGCCACTGGCCTGGGCGTGCACCTCTCTCAGCTCCGAGACTCCAATCAGGCCTGGATGGAGCTCATGACAAGGTGGGGAGATGGGGGAGCCCCCGCCCCCCTTGGCCAGCTGGGCGGCCCACAGCCTCACCCGGCTGCCTTCTGATTGCAGCGCGACCAGCACGGATGGGCGCATGGACAGGAGCCCACTGGCCTCCCTGCAGCTGGAGAGTGGCACCTACAAGCTGCGCTTTGCCACGGGGGAGTACTGGCAGCAGCAGGGCCTCAGCAGCTTCTACCCTTACGTGGAGGTGAGTTTTCGCTTCAGCTGCACAAGAGGGAGGGAGGGAGGGAGGGAGGTCCTCCTGTTGTCCTGCCCCCCTCTGACCAACAACAGAAAGGGCCAGCCTCTCCCTCCCTGCCAGCCTGGGGCCTTTCTTCTGCAGCCGGAAAGGCCCCCCTGCTGAGCCCCAGAGGTCCAGCAATTCTTCACCTTTCCTTTTGCAGGTTGTCTTCACCATCACAAAGGCCGAACGGAAGGTGCACGTCCCGCTGCTGCTCAGCCCCTACTCCTACGCAACCTACCGGGGGAGCTAGTGCCAGAGCTGCGGCTTCCCTCAGGGCGGGGCTGCTGTGGGATCCTGGGCCGTCCAGATGGGGCTGCCCCCAAGGCCAGCTGTGACGCTACTCAGGGTGGGCCTAATAAAAGATCTACCTTGAAGGGGTGTCACGAGGGTAAATCAAAGATTGCTGCGCTTCGGCCATTTGTCTGACATTTACAAAAAGGGCCCTTAAGTCTTTAATACAAAAAGCAGGCAGGTGAGCCCAGTCTCTTTTGGGGAGGGGGGGGCTTCCTCCATTGGCCCCCCAAGCTGCAGGAGCATTGGCTCGTCTCGACTTCTGAAGAGCTCTGCTAGGTGGGGGTGGAGACGAATCCTGCAGGGCCCTGCCCAAGGGTGTGTCCCAGCATGGAGGTCTCCAGGGGTTTGAAGCCCAGGTTGTCCAAGGGGATCCCGAAGGAGGTGAGCTTCGCCTCGTACGTTTGCAGCAAGTCGTTGTGTGCCTGCGAGGGGAGAGGCCAGAGGAGGAGCTGGGGGCCCCCTTGGGAGCCTGCCTTGCACAGCCCCTGCTCTCTCCCTGCTGCCCAGGGACAGCTGCAGGCCTGGGCTGGGGGGCCCCTCCGGCCAGGCTTCTCCAGGAAGCAGCTCTGCAAGCATGGGCCACTGCCCCCGCCCCCAAACTGGAAAGGCTGCAGCCCAACAGGTCTAGAGGGAGACGCCCTGGCAGCAGGACCCCGAATACCGCAGGGCTCAGTGGATGCTACAAGCAGAAGCGGCTTCCCCAGCCAAGGACCTCCGGATGCCCCCTGGCTCTGGGGCTGCGGCAGGGAGTGTCTGGGGCGGCCTCCCCCAAGCCCCTCAGCGAGGCTCCTCCCGCTTGCGACTCTCACCTTGCAGACTCTGGCCAGCTCGTACTGGAGGTCTTTGATCGCGTTGTTCTTGGAATCCAGCACGTCCTGCGAAGGAGGAGCACAGGGCTGTTAAAACCGCACTCGGGACACCAGCTCCAAGGCAGCTTTTGTGGTGCTGCTGCTGACCGTGTGTGTGTGTGTGTGTGTGTCCCTAACCTTTCCTTCCCGTGCCCTTTCCCCATCTTGCGCCCTCCGCTTTGGAAGCCAGAGTGAGGCTGACTTTCCCCCAAGAAAGGGAAGGAAAGCTCTGCAACCCAGAGCATGTCTGAGCGGCTCAGTGCCGGATCCAGTCTGGGCGTCCGGAAAGCAGCAGCTGAGCACAGGAAGGCAGAGTGCTTGACCACAAAAGCAGCTGCTGGGGGGAGGGCAGGTCCCAGGGAGGGGTCTGCTAGGGTGCATCTCCCGCTCCTGGCGCCGACCACGGTGCCCGGAATGCCTAAGAGGCTCGCGAGAGACCGATTCCCACCTTCTGGCCAGGCTGGAAATTGGCCCGCAGTGCCGTTTCAGGCAGCTGCATCTGGTCTCCAGAGGTTGGGTGGGTCCCATACCTCCAGCTTGTGGGTGACCACCGTGAGAGCGCTGGGATCCAGATTGGAGGCCGCCAACACCTCGTTCAGCTGCACTTCCTTCTTCTCCAGGAGGCTGGCGAGGCCAATCAGCTTCCGCTCCAGCAGCAGGTTCTTGAAGCCAGTTTTCTGCTGGACCTCATTAATGGCTTTGGTGAACTTCTGGTACAGGTCATCACGCTCGTCCTGAACCTGGGGAGACAAGTCAGCACGGCAACATCCCTCTGAAGTCAACAGCAGAGAGCACGAAGCGATTTCCAGCACCAGGCTGTGTGGCTGTTACTAAGGATGCCCAGCGCCCAGACAGGCGGCCGGTAGGGAAGCAGCCGCGGAAGGAAGGAAGAACGGCAGGAAACGTCCTCAGCATCTAAAGCGCCAGCCTGAAGGCCGGTGGGACTGAACGGGAGAATGCAGAGGGCTGACCTACCTCCAAGCAGTTCTCAACCTATGCCAAGCGTGCCAGCACACAGTGCGGATGGGGTGGGGTGGGGGGGAGTTCCCGCGGCTCTTCATGGAGGCAGGCTGGCTTTTCCCTCCCTCCCCCCCCGCCCATGCCAGGATCCCCCCCCACGCAGAGGCTGGCCCTCAGCCCTCACCTTGCTGAATCTTTGCTGCAGCACTTCGTGCTCCCACTGGAGATCCTTCAGGTCTTTCTCTGTGACCTTCAGCCGGGCCCGAATACTCTGCGGGGCAGGGGGGGAAGGGGGCTGAGAAGAACTCTCAGACCTTTGCGGGTTGGGGGAATGAAGACCACGCAAAAGGAGGGTAAGAACGCAAAGGGGGCCTCCAGGGCTCTTCTACACCCCTCGGCTTTCACCCTGTGAATAGCAACGTCTGCTGGGCCTTGCCGCTGAAGAGCTCAAGGGGCCAATCGCCTGCTCATGGCCCAGGAGCTGCGTTCAGGGGGTCTGCAGGGAAACAGCAGCAGCGGCAGCAGCGGCAGCAGCAGCGGGAGGAGGAGGAGGAGGAAGCAGCAGCCCCCCCCCTCCTTTGTTTCTCCCTAAGAGACTTTCAAGAGGGCCACAGCAGCTCCAGTTGCTGGCGTCAGGTCCCCTCGGCGACCCGCCGCCCTACGCGCTGCCTGGACGCCTGTCCCCAGGCCAAGGGCCCTGCACTTACTGCCAGTATGGCCTTGTCTTTCTCGTAGTGCGCCAGCTTCCGCTGCAGCTCGGAGACCTCATCCCGGGCTCGCTGCAGCGGATCCGCCAACCTCTTGTTCTGCAAGAGCACTTCCGCCATTTCCTTCTCCAGGTGATCCTCTTTCTTCTTCATCTCCTCCATCTGCTCCTGTGTCCCAGGGGGTTGGAGGAGGGGGAGCATCTCAGGCCTTCAGGGCCAGCGGCTGCCGCTTCCCCTCCAACGGCTCCCGCTCCGTCCAGATCCCACACGAACACCCAAAGACCGGGACGACGGGACGGGACGAAGCTCTTGCAGGTGCTTTGGCCCATTTCCCCAGGGAGCCCGACTGTGGATTTTTATTTTTTCCTCTTGAACCGATACTTACTTTTATTTTTCACACAACTGATACCCAATAAACTTCTAAAAACAGCTCCAAACATAGGGCCACCTGCCCCATGCCAAGAAAGGAATGCAAAACTTCCAATTACAGCAGGGGCTGGCCCACCAAGCCCCCCCCCCCCCCCCCC